TAATTCTATAAAATAACTAGTTATTCTATAGAATTACGGAATTTCATACATTAACGCTAACAGATACACTGATATTCCACCAAATTGAATAGTATGTTCCCGATTTTTGAGTGCTCAGCAAGTGTCCATTCTGGTTATTCTGTGKTTTTACTTTTAATAATCAATTCGAAATAAAAAAGTATATGTTGATTTTGAAGTTGCTATACACAACGCAATACATGAAGTTTGGCCGTTGAGTGAAATTCATGGTTGTCGGTTTCACCTAGGACAATCATGGTATAGAACATTTCAAAAATTGGGCCTTTAAACAGAGTATGAACAAAAAACTGAAATTGATGAATATTTGACGTATATATTTGGTCTACCATTTCTAGATCCGCAATCCGTCGGTGATTGCTTTTCATTCAAACTATCTAAGAAACAACCAAATAATAAAAAAGTTAGAAAATTTATGGACTACTTAGTTGAAAATTATATTGACAATAATTCTTTATTTCCACCTCTAATTTGGGCAGTAAAAATCAGTAGTGTTAGTCGTATCACTATTCATGTGAATCTATTCATTCAACATTTTATTCCCAATTTTATTCTACGCACCCAAATATTTTCAATTTCATGAATGTAAGGTATGGTATTCAAGCGGATACTGAAATTATTATAAGAAGCTCCAATGTAGAAAGACCACACAAAAAAAATAAAAGAGAAAAAATACAATTTATAGACAGTCAAATTCATAAATATGACAAAGGTATAGTATCCAGATTTGAATATATAAAATTTCTCACACACTGACTTAAGTCTACTAAATAATATTAAAAAAGTGCAAGTCAGTGAATATTTGTATTTTTAATTATTTTAATGTATAACTTAATTTATTTTAATTAAAATCGAGTACTTTTTGAACTTTTATATTTTGAGAACCACTTGTTGAAAATTATATTGGGAGCCAATTCAAGTCGACTGGGTATCTAACCTAATATTGAGAGCCAATTCAATGGTCACCATTTTTTCAAGAGATTCATAATTTAGTTATTTAAAAAAAAACAGTAATAAAAAAACAAATCCTAAATCTCAATGTGTATATTATATTTACAGTCTTACAAATGTTGTGTGACAAAATTAGTGGAGTTTATATTGGTCTCCACTGTTTTTGTCATAACAATTTAGGAGACCCTGAGTATAATATATATTATACATAACATTTTAAATTTGTTGAAAATTATTTATTATTTCAATTAGGTAGGTAACGCGTACATTGTTTATTTCATATCACTTTAATAAATACTATTATTTTTTTTTTGAATACTTAAGTTTATCTAAGTTTGGTTTTCTATAATATTGACAAACATAAATCATTATGGCAGACGAACAAGTTGAATTAGCATCAAAAGATGTTTTTGTTTTACTGGGAGTCTCTGCTCCTGAAAATCTAGAAATTGGAACTAAACGACAAGAACAAGGTGATACAAAAGGCGATGAAAATGAATCAGTTTTTACGCTTGATGAAGAAGACAAAACTAAATTTATGGTAATGAATATTTTACGATAGGTATCTAATGTTATTTGGACTAATTATTTAAACTAATAGCTCATGCCTAATAACATAGTTATGAATTTATGATTATTTTTTTAGAGTAATAATTGGGTGAAAGATCCTCTAAACTTCTAAAGTAATATGCGTTAATATATTATAGTGTATTAAATTATTATAAGCACCTAATTATTAAATATAATTATATATTTTTACGAATTCCTCACAAATCACGAATTTAAAAATTTATGATCAGGGGCGTACTTAGGGTTGTAAAACAAGGGGGGAGGCTAAATCCCTATGAAAATTACAAACAAAATTCCTACTTTTGGTTATAACCTATATTTGTTTTATACATGTTTTATATAAGTTTTTATATTATAGATATCTTTTTGATTTTTTAATTACAATATTAACAAAATATATTATATATTATTAACAATATATATATATATATATATATATATATATATATATACAATAGTAATATTTTGTCGTTAGATTTAAAATATAGTCATACAAACTACATTACATAATATATTACAATTTTAATTTCCTTGGCTTTTTAGCAAACTTATCAAGAATTTTTTTTTTGTTTAATTTCTTCAGTAAATCATTTTCAATGTTTAGTATTGCCAAATTATCAAAACGATTTTGTTCCATTCTAGATCTCAGCCAGGTTTTTGTTTTCTTCATAGCAGAAAAAGAACGCTCAGCAGCTGTAGTAACCGGTAATATTAATGCTATTTATTTATCTCAGTGCGGCCAGCTAAAATTTCTTTACATGCCAGATTGTGGAATAGTAGTACGTGCACAGCTCTGAACGCAAATGCGTCTTATTAAGACCATACCTATATACTTATCCATGACTTTAGGTAACTGATAATATTTATTCTATTTTATTCATTTTAATTGAAATATTGTATTGTAGTAGTGGCTACAACTGAAGTTATTACACTAGTTAAAATTTGCAGAATATAAATACATTTTTTGGTATAACTTAAATTGGTTGGGGGGGCTAAGCCCCCCTAGTCACCTTTAAATACGCGCATGTTTAAGATAGGTACCTACTTAAAAAAAATTTTAAATACACATTTCTTCTAATGTTATTGTATTTTTTAAAAATTGTTACTTCAGAAAAGAAGTTTGGCATATAATATAGTTGGAATAATTTGTGCAGAATCATTGTAATTTTATAACTACATTCTAAATTTTCAAATCTTTGATATTAACAGTGGCGTACCTGTGGGGGGGGGGCGAAGGGAGCATCCCCCCGTGGGTCTTATAATTATATGTGACAACTGACAATATATGAGAACTGACCATTGTTATATTTTTTTTAGTTTTTATTATAATTTTTTTTTTTCATGAAGTCAATAATATGATTATTGATAACATGATAACATAATCAATCCCTAGATTTTAAAATATTTTTGTTGTCTATAGTCGAATCAGGTGTTATCATTTTGTTTTGGCGGTTCGAACATAGAGTATAGTTACTATTTATCATGGGTTCACAAAAGCATGTGATAATAATATAATATTATAATCTAATATAATAATGGTAATATTAATTCATGGTCTGTGTTCGACTGTTGTCTCTTATTATTGATTCTAGCTACGAAATAATTATTAAATTGTACGATTTGTAGTTTGTACGTGCACTGTGTGTCTGTTTACACAATAGTTTAAAATATTTGTTTTGACGTGTTTTGTAAATTTGAATTATTTGTCATGAACAAGCAAAGCACACTCAGTAGTTGGCTGAGTAAGCAGAATCATCCATATACTGCAACAAGTATAGATGCAATAGTTAAAGATGATAATTCTATTACCTATATTCCGTCTCCAAAAAAGAGGAAAGTTGATATGTCAGATCAAAAGGTATTTAATATGTTGGGTCCTACTGAAAATTCAAGTTATGAAGATCAACCTTTAGGTGTATTTGAATTCAGTGATGATATAGGGAATTTTTTAAAACCTACACATCCTTCTGATCACATAAAGTCTAGGATTCTTGAGAAATTGAATATTCCAGAAGATAATTTTGTTTATCCTTTCTCGGTACATACTAAGAAATCCAAAGAAGAAAAACGGTTTCTTAAGCGCTCACATTTTGAAAAATATAAGTAGCTTGTTTATTCAACATCAAAGAATGGTTTGTTTTGTAAATTTTGTGTGTTTTTTAGCAATAAAGGTGGTAAAGATAATAACATAGAACTTAAAAAGTTAGTAAATTAAATAAGTATGCTAAATTGTTAGGGAAGGATGGTGATTTAGAGAAACATAGTTTAAATTTATATCATTTAAATGCTTTGAAATCTGCTAATGATTTTTTAAACTGTTATAAGAATCCACAAAAGGAAATAATAAATATTGTTAATACCTCAAGAATGATGCAAGTTATAGAAAACAAAGAAAGACTGAAACCAAAAAGTTGAAAAATTAAAATGTCAGCAAACAGCTTGAAACAAATCAAAATATTTTAAAAATCTTATTAAATGTATAAAATGCTTATATAAAAATTCAGTGAAAATTTCAAGCACCAGTGGTCATTTATTTTAGAGATTCACTAAAATAAGAAAATCGCTAAATGAGAAATCTATTGAAAATCCAATGTTTTAAAAATTTAAATTTCAAACGCTTATAAAAACTTAATTTGACTTTCTGGTGGACATTTTTTTTTTTTTATGATAAAGATTGACAAATTTGTAAGGAATCTTTTTTAAATTTTCAAATCTTAGATTTAAAAATAAAATTTTTTATGAATTTCTAGCTTATAATAATTTCCTAATTTTTGCGATTTTTACATATTTTGTCAAAATTCAAATTTTAAATGCTTATAAAAAAAATTGTGATTACTAATTTCTTTTATTTTTCAACTACTATTGTAACAATATTTTAGGAGCCTTGTATTAAATTTTCAAGCTTTTCTACCCAACAAATAAATTTTGATCGATATTAATTTAAAAAAAAATTAATAATGATCGAAAATTGCATATGCCTATAAATAGTTCAACATAAGTCGAAATTTTTTTAAAATTGCATGGTGGATAGAATATACTTACAGTGAAACCTCCTTTAACGGACACCTCCAAATAACAGACGAAATTTTGGAAACGGTGAAATGTGTACTCACTATATTTCATCTCTTAATAGCGGACACCTCCAAATAGCGGACGACTTTTATGCGACCGAGAGTGTCCGGTATTTAGAGGTTTCACTGTATAAACATTCGGTGAAAATTTCATGTATTTATGATCATTTGTTTTAAARTTACATCAAAAACCAAAATCGATTTTGTCGAAAACTGATTGTGCGTAAAGTTTCCCGTTTTTCTATTAATTTTTAGTTTGTTTATCCCGATTATTTAGAAAAATATTGAGAATTTTTTATTTTTGAGCCCCCAATGTACCAACTAGATTCACTTTCTGATCGAATGAGGTACTGAAGTCGAAAATAGAAGCACTTTTACTGCCCCAAAAAGTAATGATGAAAGGCACAAAAAAAAACACACGCATACATCATGGTAAAATCAATACATTCCTTGCTCCGCTTAGAATCTAAAATATCAGTAGTGTCTAAAGGTCTAAACAGACTAACAATGTTATACCATTAACCATTAATTCGTTCAATGATAATTAGTATTATTTATATTACATTAATGTAATACAATTTAAAAATATGCGGTAAATACTTAAATTAGTAAGTAAATTTAGATGTTGTTTTATATAATATTTTTGTTTATTCAAGACTGTTGTTGCGCCACTGGTTATCGATGTAACACCAAAAGAAGATTTGGACAATAGTTCTACTGATAGTTTAACTCAAACTGAAATAGAAGAACAAAGATGGTATAATCCGGCATTGAACACAGGACTAGAAAAATCCGATTTTGAAAGTTTAAAAAGACTGTTAGCAGAAATTAAGGTAAACAAATTTTAATTAGTAGGGAAATAATTTGTAAAACGGAATATTCGTTAGGTATATCAAATATATTTTGTAGTATTAATAAATACCTATTAAATTTTATATCAAGTTTGTGYAACCTTATAGCACGAATAAGCGGACTGGACACGACGATAAATAACGTTCCCTAAAAGTATGTTTATTGGTAGATTTACGTGTGGTTCTTCCACCTTTTTGCCACACACAGGTGAAATATTGATTTTTATTATTTATAATGTATTTCTCATAGAGTTACTCTATATCATTATTAGCCAATGGTCGACTTGGGAGCGCTAGTGAAACTCTTAAAAGTGGAAAAACCATCTGTAACTCCTTCAATGTACATATTTGTACATATTTTGAAGGAAACATGCCGCACACCTTCCTACCATGTTGAGATCATTCCTCTTAGTTATATCTTAGTTCGTGCCTTTTGGTAACAGTTATTAGATAAGTATTTAACACTATTAAATAGCCACGTTCAAAACCCGTTAATAGATGATAGTATAATAATATATTGTTATTTTTTATTTCATATTATTGGCACTAATATAAAATAATTTTATTTATTATTTTATTATAAGCTAATATAACATATATACTTACCTAAAAAAATTATATTATTCATATTGGCTATTGACGCTATTGTTGTATATTATTTTTATTTGTTTTGCACTTATCTGTGTTAAGCCTATGTATAAACGTGCCTACTATTAGGCAGGTATTAAACATAGATACTTAATATATTATATTATATTATATAAGTAGTCCGTAGTGTAGTGTGATATCCATGTTGAACATTGCGATGATAAAAACCTAAATAGTTGAGTTTTAAACAACTCACAAGTCACAAGTCTTGACAAACTCTTTTCGTCAAAGATGATTTTAATAGGTAGTTAAAACTAGAATTAGCCAGAACCGTCAATTATGAAACTAGTTTTAACTTTGTTTATACATTGGTAAAAACTAGAAATATCTAAAAAAAATTGATTTTCAGAAGTTATTTTTATATCGTTGAAATGGATAGAACTAAAAAAATAGGTACTTACATAATAAGATAAGCATTGATAAACTATTTTTATCATATTTTTTTTAGTCCTAACCTCTTCAAAACGGAATCATAGGCCTCTTTCACAATGTCATTTAAGTGATTATTTTCCTTGAGTTTCTTCAAAAACCATTCTCGAAAATAATTACACTCATTGTTACTAAATCACTCTCAAACTTTCCGACCGTGAAAATTATTAGGCATGTATGTAGGAACGTAGGATAATTATATTTATAATTAATTGTATTTATAGCCATTCGGTCAATCATGATTGTCTAGCCATGGTTGAGTTATATACCCTATACTAAATAATAGACAGAACATTATAAGGCCAGCGGAATGGTCAATGGTTAGGTTAGGTTAGGTATTTTTAGGGGCTTAGATTAAGGCAAAAAAAAATACAACAACGTTAAAATAAAAAACAAGTCAAATTACTAGCAAGACTTCAGACAAATGTATTCATAATTCTATAAATTCGTTCGAAACTTGTACAAGATATTCATAAAAATTGATAAAATATGATAATTACCTAAGTATTTATGTTTTTTACTATGCGCAGTTACGTACAACCACAGAAATGTGTAACAACACAATCAGAATTACCTACGTTCACCACTAGAAATACCACCATGCTCAGTTTAATAATAAAAGTTAGATTGTATACGATTTAGGTTTTATTTTTAGCTGCATTATGTATTAAAAATATAAGTTGATTTTAGTCTTAACTAGGTTGCAGGTTCATACCTACAGGGGAACAAGAGCGGAATAGCTTTCACTGCAACTTATCGTTGCCCCCAGTGGCGTATTTTGTATGTTTTTCGAGGGTCTCCAGGGTCTCCAGGTAATATAGGTATATACTCATTTGTTAATTGGCTGCAATATTTCTCTGGTTTACATCAGTCACCAATGAAAATAATATGATAATATTAATATTTCACCGTAAATTTTATCTGCCTTGTTTTTTCGACGACGATTAAATGAAAAATTATTCAAATTCAAATGATAAATAATAATATGTTTTAAAATATACATTTATTTTAAAACATATTATTATGTACCATGGACGTTACGATTCAACGTATTAATATATATTTAAAAAAAAAACATTATTGTTATGTATTAATATTTAAATATACACAAATTACCGGTGGAAAAATAAGTAACACAGACACATGAAGGCACGGAGCCGCAAGATAAAAATATAAATAGCATGGATACTGTAATAGGATAATAATAACATGATATTATTCAAACATATTAATATACCTACATTAGTATTAGTATTAGTTTTATTATTAGTTATACCTATATAGTTATCATCATCAGTCACAATTATTTAATAATTATTACTATATATTTTGTTTGTTACATTCCATACCAGAGGTGCTTTAAGAATAACAGTTTTATAAATAATTAAAAATATAATAGGATAATAAGTACATTATTTAAAACTAAATTTATGTTCTTTCCTAATTAGTTTAGGACTTTATATAATATTAAAAAAGTTCATAAGGAACCACATATTTTTGTTTATCAAATTACCTTTAAGATTTTCAAATTTGACTATCTAAACCTGAAGATTTGGTCTGGGTGTAGACCAGCTAAGTAGTAATATCAGTTAAGATGAAAGGAGTTCGTGAAAAATAGATTTTTTTTTAGTTAGAGCAAATTTCTGGTTTTAACTGCAGATAACATCGAAGTATTTATTTGTTTTTTATTTACTTTTATTTTTCGAATTCTTTGTAAATTTAGAATACTGATCCGACGAAAACCCTGGCTGCATTGACCAAACTTAAAGCGGAAAAAATATTAGAGGGACCTTATCAAAACATGTTTATTGCTTTAAATGGTTTCAAASTGTTGATTAACATACTTGAATGTAACAATGACGAATGCATGGTATAACCATCATATTATTATAATTACAGTATAACTAGACGGCTATTTATATATTTCATTACCTATTATTTTTATCGTAATGCCACGATAATATATTTTAGGAAAACGCTTTGATAATTGTACATGAAATGTCCCAACATTACGGAATCCAATGCTCATTGTGTAAATTGGACGCAGTGAAGCCTTTGATTTCTATTTTATTATTCAAAAATAACTACAAAGTCAAATACTTGGCTTCAGATACGTTACAGAACATCGCGAAATTGAAGAGAGGTAGGAAGCTTATCCGACTGAGTGGTGGAATTAAGACCATGGTATGTTCGGAAAATAATTTTAACCACTGTCGATCATATATATTATACTTAACCATAACCATCTAACTTCCGGTTACCGGACTCATTTTGAAATAAAAACTAGGATCGTTGTTTAAGGTGCAAATGATGAATGTATCAAAACATGTATTATCCATGGATTTGAATAGTATGAACGAGACAAATCGGGATACAGTGAGCTTGATGAACTGCTGTTCTGGTACACTAAGACAGTTGTGCCGGTCTTTAAAAAGCCAAAAACAGTTGTGGTGAAGTGAATGTACACTTTATTTCCGTGGCGTATTATTCATTAAACAAAATATACGTTATTATAGGGAAACGGGGTTCGTGCAGCTGTTATCACCACTGTTAAACTCAAAACTTGGCGAAACCCAAGTTTCTATAATGAGTTTATTAGCGGAATGTTGCCGTACTCGGCCAGAGGTCGTCGAACAAAAAATAGACATACATACTAGAGTAGCACTTAAAGAGATGAATATTTTGCAACAAGTCATACAGTTTTTGGTCAGTGATTCTACCCAGCTCGCGGAAAAAGCAGCCGAAACGATACTGTGTATGTTCGACGGTAACCCTGCTATATACGACATTTTGCTGAAACACAAGGGGATGGAAGCCTTATTCAAAGCTGTTATAAAATTCCAGTAAAATAAACCAATATATTAAACATTAACTAATATTATAGAATGCTACTAAATTCTGAAATAATGATTCAAAATTTGAAACTTGAAAGCCATCATAAAATATGTATGTCAGACAAATTAATATTAGTTATCAGCGATATTTATAGTAAATAAATTAACCACAATATACTGTTTGAAATAAATAATAATTATGCTGATGATTGGACAGTGAGCATCTTACAATATTAGTATGTTATATCCGAATGCGTTAAGCCGTTAACCAACTTTTTATAYGACTTTGTTCGAATTGTGTGAAATTTCCCAACTATTGAGTATTAAACAGGACTAATAAAATGTCTACAACATGTTCTAAAATGAATTAGTTGAAAATGAGAAAAGAAAATATTATTAAAGCCGGTATCTGGTTAGGCTATCTAACCGTATCGGCAATTGACGATTACACGTTTATGCCGAACTGACTAGTGAATCTCTTGTACTAGCAGTTAATAGGTATATAGTTCCGTCGTACCTACTAGTAAATGTTTGAATAATCGTATCGGCTATTGACGGGTATATGTTTCTGCCGTATCGTCTGAATAATCGGTTGTCTGTCTCTTCTGGTTGGTCGTTTGTCGAGACACGAGTTGGGCGCCAGCTGATGCGGTCCGTCATTTGCCGACGGCCCGAGATTGTGAATAATTAAAATCCATTTCATTATTTTATAAACATATCCGTATATTGGTTCAAGTCTAACGTTATGACAATAAATTAAATGTGGAAATAAGTTGTATCCGAACCGTGCAGTTGGCTTGGATAAGCAGATTGCAACGGACGATGTCAGGCCTGTAGAGGCGCAACCAAAAAAAGTATACAATTTAGAATCTTAAAAATTATACAATGTTAATGAGAGGCGAGTTACACACACTCTGCTACGGTCTTGTATAAGTCATGTAGAGTTCTGTGCACTCGTAGTGAAAACCTGAGTAGGCTCACTAGGGTGGAATTGAACTGATGGTTCTGAAAAGTACCTTTTTTGTCAGTCACGAAGGTAGATCGACTGTGTGTACAAAACCACGTGTGAGCCGCTGGCAGGTGAATGCAAAGTGAATTATCATGTAATGACGTTGCGTGCGCCAGCCGCTGCCTCGTCCAACAAGTGTCTTCGCCGCTTGGGTTCGGATCGTAGTCCGCAGGTAACAGCACGATGTTCGTCGGTTGCCGCCTCGTCTCACGAGTGTCTTCGTTGCTTGAGTCCGGAGCGTAATCCGTTGGTAACAACGCCGAGTTTCTTCGATGATTAGGTCCGGAGCGTTGAAACCAACTCTGTTTTCGTCGTTCGTCATTGTATGTTGACAATTATTGCGATGTTGACGATGGTAGTGTTGATTGAAGAAGATATCATAGGTTGGAATAGTACCCGGTATATATACTATGATCCGTACCGACTAGTAAACCACCAACGTGCCGCCGTGCATACCTGTGCTTTCTGTTGGTACGGGTTTTGCTATTATGGGGTCACTTTTGGACATATATATGTGGGGTGTTATTGTTTTCGTTATTATCTCCTCTATCCATTGCCGTACTTGCTGGGGATGTATGATTAATCTAAAGGTTTTGAATTCTCCGTTAAATCCCTCCGCTGGTATTGTTTTTTATATGCTGTATTGTGATTGGTGGTCCTGAAAAGGACCGCTTTATGCGGTGAAGGCTACGCCGTTACATATCTTGTATAAACTTATGGTTGTATCCTGCCCGCGTAAGTTTAACTGKAGGAGGAAGCAAAGTAAAAAACTTCTAATAACACAGCACAACACAACCTAACATTGTGTACTGCAATAGCCCCACACTGGCTTTAACTAGTTGGTGTGGCCGGGTCCTTCTGGTAGGGGGTTTATCGTTCAACAACCCTACCTAATAAAAAACATAATCATTAGTGTGTCCGATATATAAAAAAAACAATCCACTCAAGTCCAACAATTATAGTAGCATTGCTTAACTCAAAACAACATACAAAGTTTTATCGTATATTGTATCCTAGATAGAATTAAACCAATCTTCGAAGGAATACTGGGAGACTACCAAGAGGGTTTTAGACCAAATAGATATACTACAGACCAAATATTTATTACAAGGCAAATGTAAAATGTGGGAGTTTGATAAGGAGGTGGTCTATACTTTGTTTGTAGACTTTGAGAAAGCCATTGACCAACCCTATTTAATATATTTAAAAAGTTCATTATGCCAAAAAAGTTAATTAACCGGATTAAAGTGACAATAGAAAATTCTGAAATAAAAATAGCAAACTCATCATTTAAATCTTTCAAATTAACATCTGGTTTAAGGCAAGGGATCCCATTATCTCTAATCCTTTTTAACCTAGTTTTGGAAGAGATATGAACATATAAGAAGGTATAACTTTAGGACAGTCAAATATAGGCCTGAAAGCATATGCCGAGGATATTGCCATTATAGGAGACAATATCAAAATATTAAAAATACATTGAAAGAAACTAATGGATGCTGCGAGTAAAGTCGGTCTCAGAATAAATGATAATAGACAGAATACATAAAAATCAAAAGAAGAGACAGGACGTATCGCCACGGAGAAAGTATGAATATAGATAGAAATATATTCCACAGGGTTCCACAATTTAAATGCTTAGGTGTCCTCTTAACTCAGTGTAATGAGTTAAAAGTAGATATTTCAAAAAGAATACAACTGGCCAACAACTGCTATTTTGGTATGGGAACCCTGCTTAAATCTAGATCAATATCGTTAAATTTAAAAATAAAAATATACATGACATTAATACGTCCTGTCATCCTATATGGGTCAGAAACATGGGCTTCAAGAAAGATAGAGGAAATAAGATTGGAAACATTTGAAAAGACAGTTTTAAGACAAATCAATGGACCTTGTCTCGACTCAGGAACCGAATAATGGAGAATTCGATCCGCTGAGGAACTACATAACTTGTTCCAAAGACCAAGTATTTCAAGAGAAGTTGCAAATAGATAACTGATATAGCAGGTCACGCTTGGAGGAAAAAATACGCTGTGATAAGCACAGTAATTAAAGAGGAACCGAAAGGGAAAAGGCCACTAGATACACTGATGATGATGATGGATTCCTCAGATGGGAAGACTGTGTGAAGAGAGAAGTAGACCCTTGGTAACTGGAGAAAAAATAGCTGAAAACAGAATAAGATGGAGGGAAATTTGTTTTACGGGATGGTCTTATAGGTCGGAAAACTCCCCCCCCCCACCAAAAAAAAAATAGAAAAGCATGTCTCACGGCAACCCTATACAGATGCCCATGGTTGTATTTAAATTCCACGATAAATGTATCTTATAACGAAATACAATTTAAATTGAAAAAATGTAACTAAAAATCTCTTTGAAATGAAGCTCAATTGTTAGGTTAAGGATGATAACTTATGTTACTGATTTCAGAAATCAGACAGCATCTAAAATTGTTGTGTGATATGAGCACTTATATATAATATAAACAGTTTCCCCCCTTGTATGACTATAGGCCATAATACTATTACTTTTTTCATATTTCAAGTTTCTTCGAATTAATTATCACAATTTTTTACGGTTATTTGCGGCCTCTGGTTTTAACCCCGCAAGCACAAAAGTGGACAGGGTCCAAAGTTTATTAGGATTTGTTTAAAAACTTGTCACTCAGTATGATTTGTTATATGTTAAACAATTTTTAGTATAAATCATTAATTTGGCATTTAAAAATGTTAAATATAAAATAGATGTGAATTGTTTTAAAATTTAGTTTGAGAGTCAATTTGACATTTTTAATACATAATTAAGTGCCCAAGTCCATAATAGTAAGTTTATAAATGAATATGAGTAAAAAGAGTAGATCTTTAATAAGAATAGGTAATTAATATTGGTATTATCAATAATTTCTTTGAASAAAGATTTTCATAGGCTGGGCCTATGTAGACATTGTAAACTTCCAGTTTTTTGCTACCGATTAAAACGGAATTAAATTTTTATAAATTAAATTTTGCTATATATAACTATATGCTCTAATTATAAGTCATAATTATTCATTTATTAAACTTTATTATATTAATTTGCATATTATACAACACCTATAAAACGCAACTATAATATTGTAATAATAATTATTGTTTATTAACTATTTATAATATTTATTTTACTAACCTAACGATATAGATACTAGTATAATGTATATTGTTTGTGCCTTACTGARATAACTTGTGTTAGGACTTAGTAGTTCCCTCATATTATAATTAATGAATTTTGACTACAACTAGGTACCTACCTACTTATAACTTTCATAAAGAATTGATAAATATTACAAAACTGCATTTACTTCTAACAACTCAATATGTGTTAATACGCCTGGTTCCTAGAAAAACCATCTAATAACTTTAAACACTTATTATCTACAATGTAATAAATATTTATATATATTGTTAAAGTACTGAAGTACATAATATTTTGTGCTGGTACAAAGACTGAAATTTAACCATCTTAATATAGCGGTCATTCTGTTTCATTCTGCAGGAACGACGAAAACGTTATGGTATTGATCATCACCGTGCTGTGGAAAAGCTCATTGMACACGAAATGCAGAAAAGTAATCGAGAAAGATAACATCGTAAATTATCTGCTGGAACTGTTGACATACAAATTTGATGACCGAGTGATAGGGTATGCAGTCGCCACGCTGTCTGAACTGTGGGAATCTGARCCATTGCGTTACAAGCTCAGACAATCAGCAGTGCCTCAGTATCTGGAACTGCTCAATACTAGCCTCCATAGCCTGGTGTTGGCGCACGTATGTACAGCTATAGGCCGGGCGTCTAGCGACCCGCAGTGCATGAAAATGATCGATGAAGCTGAGGGATTTCGGCTGATTTTCGTACTGTTGCCGTCCTTGGACGTGGATGAGTTTGACAAATACGAAGATTTCGACGAACCACAAACGATTATAGCCGCTGCTGAATGTCTGGCTATGATGATCGAAAACACTCAGGTAAACATATATATAATTAATAATTATATCTACTATTAAAGATGTTTTATATGCATTTTGTGGGCCATATTATAGTAAATGACGTGATAGTTATTTTTTTTATTCATTTTTCATTGTTCGATTTGTTTAGTTCAGTCTGAACCCTCTCAAGGGAATGTACGAAGCGATTTGTGACCTGGTAGATTTATTGACGCACAAGAATTTGGATATTTTAGCGGCAGTTTGTCATTTGATCGACGTAATCGCTACGTTCGATGAGAATTCGAAAATAATGGTCGACGCTGGAATCGTCGAAAATTTGGCAAAACTTGTATCCACAGTAAGTTTGTATTTTCAAATTATACATTATTCAATGATTAATAATATTTTATCTACTAATGCATAATAAAATAATATCTTAAATTAGTAGATGAGTAATAACAATAAATAACCATATGCGTATTTATAGAAAATCTTTAAGTACCTATTTATATTATTATTTATTACAGGAGCATACGGAGTTGAGAGCCAATCTCTGCAAAGCTTTGGGTAAATGCTGTACCGTTGGTGTAACTGCGCGTAGATTTAGCTGCAAACGCATTATAGATAAATTAATTAAGTACACGCATTCTGAGCACAAAGTAGTTAGAGACAACGTTCCTCTTGCACTTAGCGGATTATCCGAGGACCCATTAAATTGTGTAAGGATCGAAGCGTTAGGATTTCTTCCGGTATGTTAATATTTTTTTAAAAAGAATAATATGATACCCACTCATTTAAAAATGTTCATGAATCATCTAGTTTTTGAAAGAATGCATACATTCGGAAAATTCTCAAACGGCAATGGCTGCTGTTAACTGTTTGAGCAACGTAAGGAAAGCAAGCGCAGCTATAGGCCAGTTTCAAGAATGTACGAAGAAGCATTGAAAATCATCCTGGATCCTTTAATTACCTTATTATCATAAATTATCAATGCCATGTTCAAAAGATATGAGCAAAAAAATTTTTTTAATGTATACATAAAATGTAAATGTATCTTCTAACATAAATTCATTAAATAAAAAATATAATTAAATTTCGTAAGGACTTCGGACATATCATTGTGTATAACTAGTTAATTATCATGCACATTCAAATGTATTCATATTATACATATCTTTAGGGTTATGAGTATGAAATATTGAAAACTTTCAACTTTCTTGAAATATTTCACTGAAATATAAAAAAATATAATATTTTAATTTTTTGTTTTTGGTATATTTGACAAAATCATCACTATAAGTATAATATGGTCACACTGATTTCATAGCTGATGATTAGTGATTATCGGTTCCCGATTATGTTTTTCTTTGATGTCTATCACGGACTACTACACTGGACTGGAAACGATACGTTTACCACCGGGCCTCTTAGTGTCCGCGAAAGAGGTGTACGAGGGGGAATCGTACATGAGTGAATCTGGCGCCTTCTATACTTTAATAATAAACCATTCCCGCCAAATAAACCTACATAATAATACAAAACATAATAAACACTAACTATAACATAGTATCGTCATATATTATGTTCCACCCGAACATTCCTAACTCTAAAGAGTAAAGACTAAGATAATTTACCAGTTAGCACCATAAACAATATTGTCGAAGTACATCTTATTTTTTAAAACAATTTTGCCTTAATTTATTTTTGAAATGCGTAAATGTTCAGTTGCTGGGTGTAACAGTCAAGATCGTGATGTTAAAATGATACTTTTCAGTGCYACAAATGCTAATCAATCATCTTGGGACACTGCAATGCGTAGTTCAATAAGTTTAATAATATTTTTAGTACATTTTTTACCCGAAGATATTTGTACTACATATGCATTACCATCAGATGTAATTGAAGTAAGAGTTAATATCGGCGATTGTAAACTGCGCTCAAAATACAGGTAAACACAAAATCACACATGTTAACTGCACCCGAGTTTTTATCAAGAGTAAAAAGGTRACATGTAAACTGCGCCCGGGTAAAATTACAGGTAAAATACTTCATTCRTTACAGCCATATAATATGAATAATTAAAAATAAAATATAATTTTAAAAAGCAAAATAAATACAAATATTACAAATAATAACGTCATATTGTTATAAGATATTAGGAATTAAAAAAAATATAATTATAAATATTACAAACAATAACATATGGTGGATACATATTCATCAATTGGAATTTAACTACTATTGTATTAATTATGAGCTAAATTTTCTCGTTTTTTTGTTTTTTTTTTTTTTTTGTTTTAAGAGTTTTGGAATTTAAACGGTTCATTTATACTATTTAGTTTAACGTATACTTATATTTGAATTTCATTTACCTTTTCTATGAACATGAAAATATATGGATGAGTTGTTTAAAAGCTGGAATTAAAGTGAGAATTTAAAAAAAAATGGAAGAATTAGAAACTAAAAAAATTAATCAAATTGAATTTGTGAGGTRATTGTCATTCAAGTTTTTACCTACTTTTATATAGACTTATAAATTAATAATTGACAAAGTAAGAAAAATTCAACAGCTTAGTACCGATAAAAATATGCAATTTTAAATAATAATAAATAATAAATAAATACCTACAA